GATGTCAATGTGAGAGAGTCCTTTTGATGCAGTTCAACTTTTTGGTATAAGTCCTGTGTATGGAAGCGGCCGAGACCACTTTTCGAGAAGACCATTCCTCGGACCGAATTATTTACGCTCCTTGCATTTTGCAAGGCATCTTAATTCATTGCATTTTGTGCGGTCTTGAAATTTTAGTTCTTTCGTGACGCGGGTGTCGTTTACTGCTTTTATAGGTCTCTGTGCAAAAGAAGCCGCTTTCCTTTTGAATTTAGAATTTTCTGAAAGATTGACAGCTCTGGCTATTTAAGGGCTATTGAGCGCCGGTACTGGTATCTTCGCCGGTGAACGATACAGTCTCCAGCCGAGATACATTGTCTTTGACTTTGTATTTGAGGTGAGTAAGCTATCGCTCCCTCACTGTATCTAGTATACCTTGAGATTACCTTTTCCAAAGTGTGCAACACACTGGAATTGGTAAGTACAGGGCGCCGTAGTTTCCTTTTTAAGCTTACTAGAGCTTGCTGGACTGTTTTAGCCTTACGGTGGAAAAATAGTATGCGACATACGCAATAGGCTGGAGTGGACATGAATTTTGTGCCTGCTGAAATGTAGAGGCCTACTTGTACAGGTTCCACTCCAGTGGCCTATCTAGTGTGTCCACGCTTGACTGCCATAAGGCTCAAGAGGATAAGACTCTGCGTAGAAAAAGACACTAGCGGTCTGCACCTCAACCGTGTACGCCCTAGTCACTCTTTCACCCCTCTCCCCCTTCCCCCTCCCTCTACTCCCTGTCCCCGCTCCCCTCTGCCACGATCCGATACACCTTGGGATGCCATGACGATGATCTTCTTCTCAATCTCAAATGCAATGAAAGACTACACCCGAGCTACTTTCCCAAATCCAAGCACGCTGGTCAGACCTTCTGGATATTCAACGTGTTGCTGCCTCGAGACCTTCCCCTTCGACATGATCACCCATCTCTGAGCGGTTTTTACTTTCAATGTTTTCGATATTGCGCTGGATCCAAAACACGTCCTTCCCGACAAGTATTACTGGTTTATTTCCATTTCTCCATACCACGTACTGACACATGACAATGTACCAGTTTCCTCTTTCCTTCACCTTACTCAGTCATTTGGCTCAACTAGTACCTACCATCGCCCCCGTTGTTTGCCGCCCTCGGCCTCCCTAGTCATGCCCGCTTACGCAGATGGACTTCTCTCGACCCCCTCGACGACATCACCGTCTACCTCGACTACCAGCCGACCGCGTGCGTCAATGGCATCACATCTATGTGATCCCGATGAACCACATATCGTCTCCACCACCTTCCCCAAGAAAGCTCAACCCTTGGCACCTCCACCCTCATTGCGAACTTCAGCTGGCTCAGACGACTATGGTCCATCCTCTTCATGCTCCTCCACTTTGACGACCACCACTTCCAAGACTACTACACCTCCTGACTTTTTGGTTTCCTGCTGAAACCGACCGGTGAGCGCGCGCGTTTTCGCATTCCACGCCCTTCCGTAGCATTCACGTTGCCTGAGGCAAAACCCTAGTTCACTGCCGCCCGATTTATGTTTCACCACACGCCTTCCGCTGGCCCCACAAAATTCCACCGTTGTTGAGCTCTCCACACTTTCGACACTGTTGTTTTCCTTCTCCGTTTTTTGGTGCACTTGACAATTGTACGCTACCATCGATTTCATTTCATGTACTGTCTTACTTGCCCCGCAGCCCTCTGGCTTGAACTTTTGTTGACTCCATTTTGGACTCCTTACCCCTCTCTCGTTTGGCCAGTATGGACATCAATGACACCACTGGTTCTACATGCGCATCGGATGACTCGGCGACATCCTCCCCGGAACCGCCCCACATTACAGAACCTCCATTGAGCGCCGCACAGATGCAGATTTCTCCTCGATCATGGCACTTCCACTTGGCCCTGGAGGCTCCAACATCATCGTTGACCTGAACCCTGAAGCCTCCACACCTCTTGATCCCACTCAACTTCCAGGTCTTCCTCGTGCTGAAAACCAATACAACGAGGACTATTTGGACCGTTCTCATGCTCGTAACCACGGCCACTTTCACGTCGCCTCTCCCCGTGAGGAATGTATGGACCTTCCCGATCGCGCCTGGTTCCACTACCGGACCATCCGATGGGACGATGACGACGTTGCTTACTTCCAGATCCTTATTCGACTTGGGCTGATTACCATCGTCGTGTGTGGAGCACTCGGGGCTGGCAACTTTTCTTGGGATCCACCCCCAGCCTGCCTATCTGGCAGGCACGCGAGGACTATGAACGAGCCCTGTTCGCTGAGGAACAACGCCTCACCGCACAATCCTCCTCTCCAGATTCTTATCCTCTGGAACACATGCTTGAACATACGCATCAACATTTCTCCGAGATGACGTCTCGACCACCCCCGGCCTCCGAGATCTCCCTGCTGCTCAACAGCACGCCGTCCTTGACGGACTTGTCCATACATTGACGACTTATCAGGAAGAACTACAGGTTGCTGTCGATCAGCAGACACAATCTACACCCGTGGATACTTCCTCAGTGGCCCCCAACCACTCCAAAGCCATTGACTTGCCCGTCTCACCTGCTGTTGCTGGTGTGGATATACCAGTCCCAGATTCTGCATCTATGTCTTTGACCTCATCTTCGACTTCCCCACCGAATACATTGGCGACAAGTACGACAACCATTCGAAACCCTTGATCAAATACCTCATCCCTCCACTGTCCGTTTCGAGTTGGACATCAGCTTACTGGTCTATCAACCACTAAACTACATTACAGTGACTCTCGATACGGCCCAGCTCGAGACCAAGGAGTACACTGTGGATGATCTCAAGGATGTGATCTATTCCCGTATAGGACAACAGCGCACCGCTTTTTGGATGGCCCTTCCTTCCACCGGCGACTCTCGGGTCTGGGAAGTCCCACACACCTGCACACTTAAAGATCTTGTTCTCTACTACGTCAATCCTCGACGTCTTCGTGTACTTGGAATACCACATGAGTATTCACGAGATGCCACCCCTTCCCTTATCGACCTCTACACACCGTCGCCGCTCGTTTACATGATGATGCCAATTGCCAACTGCGACTGCCACTCACGGCCTACCAAATCTTCCGTGAACTTCGCCAGTTTCATTAGTTTCACTCAACCTTTCCGGCTTGGCGCTTAGAGAAAATATTATATGCCTCCTCGGGGAGGCGTGTGCGTGTAGTCACAGGGATCCGTTCGGGTTGTACATTTGCCTTTGTCTTCATTTTTCATTTTGAGCAGGGGGGTGCAGAGCACAGTGGAAACTGCACCCAACGAAGCTATCCACTTGTGCTGGAAGCAGAGCCTGATCAACTCTGTGTACCTGCTTGATTTTTAAGATTTGTTGAGTTGGGCTTGACACTCTGCAGACTTGCACGCTACGCCGTCACCCTGTCGCTTCGACCTCGACTTGCGCTTTTGGCCCCACTTCCGTTTGAAGACCTCCAGGATCCGGTGGTTCGTACTTGTACGCGTCAGTTCCGTATGCATATCTATAAGTGTGCGCGCGTGTGCGCGTGTCATCCTTTGCAACTTTCTGACTGCACGTCGGTAGGCACGATGTTCTTCCGGATTGAGTGGTACCTTGCGTTTTGTTTGTCAAAGCGCTGCCCTCCCTGGGTTGCGCTCTGCGAAGACCCATCTGTAGCCATAATCCTGAATTTGACTGCTTGCCACTGTTCAAAATTCTGAGTCGATGTCGTGCAAGGGGATTTGTTCTGCCAAATGCACTGCGCAAACATGCGCCTGCTCTCGATCATGACTCATGAGATGCCGTGGAGCGCCGGTGTGTCTTCTCTGCTTCTGTCTCGTCTGTCATTGCTGCCACTCACACTTTTCAGAAACGGTACGTACGGTTGTTGGGCGCTGTCACTTGATGGTGACTCAGGGATGCATGAGTTAGTAGTCTGTACGCTACCTTAGACTGTTTGTATGTCCACCCTGCTTCTACAATGCTGTTTCTACGCTTTGTGTTTGCTTTGTCTGCGCGGCATCTCCAACGTTGCACACTGCCATCTTGGATATTTTTCCGGCTGGCGTCCCTGTAGCACATCTTCATTGCGACTTCCTGCTGCGCTTGTATCTTGCTCAAATCTAACGTCACTCTATTTTTCTATGACCGTGTTTTTCACCTCTGCAAACATCCCTCTTGTTCCTACAAGCAATTGCAAGTGGCGGTCCTGTGCCTCGTTCAGAATGGCCACTTTCACCCGGTCTGAAAGTCTTGTTGCGTCGCACTCAAAGCTGCACATGTCGGACACCTACTGCACAAGGGTCTGTAGTTCTCGAGGCCTGTCTCTGTTTGGAGCTGTCTCCAACCTGCTCCTGCCTCCCTGTTGTGACAATGGCTAGCCCTCGAAATCTGTTCTGAGTTGTCTGCTTCTTGTGGGTGCTGCTGCTACAAGTTTGCCTCGACGAGTTGTGTATGTCAATTGTTCCGTTTGTGCTCCTGTTTAACGTCACGACGGTCATTGTCGAATGAAGGCCAGAGAGTTTGCAGAGTTCCATGGATACGATGCAATACTATTCTGCTTGTGCTCCTGGTGATGCCATGTCGAAGTGTGTGGGTCCTGCTTATTTTTGTACCCTCGCGCACCATTGTTCGTCAGTTCCTTCAGTGTTTTGCGATCAAGGTTTATTCCTCTGTATATAATATTGTCACGTCCAGTAGTTGTTGTATGTGTGTGTTTGTTTTTGTTGGACTCTGTTTGTTCCTGCCTGCACAGCTGCCAGCAGCTACCATGTTAAGCTGATTGCGCGATCACTTGGTTCGTAGATTTCTCTCAAGGCGAAAGGCGCCTCTGGTCATAATCAGTCCTGATTGTACTACACTTCATGTTCTTCTCTCTCACTCTCACACACTCTCTCTCTCTCGCATTGATACAAACAACAGCTATCTATAATATCGCTCTCTGTTCTTTCAGCAGCCGTTTGTCGTCCAGAAGTTTGCGGAGGCCTCAACCAGAACCAGAAGAATGCCCCAAAGAGCGGTCCCCAAGAAGAGGTGGAAAAATCGCACAACCACGCCGACAGGTGTGAGCATCATTATGCACCTCGCGCACGACGCTGCAGAAAGCAAAGCTTGATTGTTGACATGAAGACGGTTTATATCCGCATACGTACATACATACATACATACACGCAAACACACATACATGCATGCATGCATGCATGCATGCATACATACATACATACATACATACATACATACACACATACATACATACATTCATACATCCATACATACATACCTACTTACGGACCTACCTTTACATACATACCTTTACATACCGTGACATTACATGAAATTACATTGCTATACAATCCAGGACCATATAGTACAACACAACAATACAATATAATACATCTCAATACAACACAATGCAACACAAGACAATACCTGAGAAAAGGAGAAGAGAGGGGACGAAAGCCAGCCTCCGTAAGAAGACATTAATGTGGTTGTGGGGTGAAGCCGACAGCGCACTTCAACTGCTGCCAGGCATGTTTGAAACAGACGAGGCAGAGAGGCGCAAAGCTTTGCTTTGAGGGTGGATACGATAAGCTCTATCTACACAAGATGAAGGCAAGAGCCTTTATACATAACGCCTGGATCAATTCTCCTTCACCACGAGGCGTGATAGGAAAGGCAAGCTCTCTTGGACATGTATAGCTCAGGGGGGCGCCCTTTTTCATCCAGGTAACACGCTCTTTCGCAAGAGAAAAACAACCCCCTCAAGCAACTTAAAGGTTCCTGACTGCATTGTATCTTTTTCCAGGAGATCCCGTTTCAAGATGCAGTAGCAAGGATTAAGCCAGCAAATCTTCCTTTGAGTTGTCTGAACGCTTCTTTGGAAGAAAGAGATTCTAGCCAGCGCAGAGTCTCGCCGCCTCTGGCGGTAACTTGATGAGCCAATATATGACGCCTGGATCTCCCGTACCATAGCCCAATCCAGCTAACAGCCCTCTTCAGCACCCCCAAGCAACTCAAAGCTCTACGGGTCACATCGGTTCTTGCGTTCCCTTCCATTCTGATGAGCCGCTAGAAAACGGAGGGATGAGATACTGGCATCACTTTCCTGGTGGGCTCCCGACCTCTTTTCCTGTCACGTTGTCCTCCCTTTCCTGTCCTCAACACGAAACCCCACCCCTTGTCAACAGACTTTGGCAAATAGCCTCCTGAGCCCCTCATGATGCTAATGATGCACTATTCGGCGTCAATCTGTTTTTAAAATGCCTCTTCTTTTCGCTCTCGCTCTGGGTTCGCCCTACCCTGCCGGACCGGCTACGTCCCCCCCTCTGCTCATTTCGTTCGCCCGTCAACAACTCCAGCCTAGCCTATACGGCTAGTTTTGCGACAATACAATACAGTACAGTAAGTACATACACGCGCGCATACATACGATGCGTGTGTGTGAATACGCGTGTCTGCGTACAGTAATTGAATTGTTGCGCATAAGCGAAACAAACAAACGGCCCAATGCTCTCTGCGAGGGTTCCACACGCCGAGCTACCAGGATCCAGAGCTGCGCCAAAATCTGTCAGCAGGGTGCGTAAGTCCCGAAGCATCAAGAGCAGGGCTGAGTCGAAGTCCATAGATATAGGCCATTGCACAGCATGTCAGGAAGAAGACCGAGGTGTGAAACACGTGCAAAGCCCACAGCAGGAAGTCGAAATCATATATCAAGGCCCAAATGTCCTCTTTGTGCAAAGTCCTTAGACAGCAACCCGACAGCGCAACCGCAGCGCGAAGGCGTGCAATCAAGGAGCAAATCGTGTTTGTACTGGAACGCGACTAAGCCCAGCAAGGGGCACAGAGCGCATACAGCCTTAAATGAACAACAAACCAAGATCTTGTTTTGGAACAGAACCAGACAAAATCTGACAGTGTCAGCAGCAACATTCACCCTAGGCGCAATCTTCTTTATTCATACCCCGAAGCATGAAAACGAAGCGGTCCACGTCTGGAGCCATAGATGGAAGTTTTTGACGCCAAAAGGTTGAAGCTTCTCGAAAAATAAAGCAGACCTTGAACTGGAAGCAATCACAAAAAAATGAAAGCACTATGCAGAGTCCAAAAATGATGAGAAAGTCTCAGGCTGGCGCGCAAACCATTGAGACTGAAAAGCCCCAGGTATAAACCGCTTCATACAATGGGCCGGAGGCCATGACATCGGAGAGCATAACCTCCGTGACCCATGCAGGCGCTGCCCATGCTGCAAGAACAAGAGGGAGTATGGAATATGAATCAGGTTAGCGAAGAGGCTTCCCGGGAGCGGTGCGAAGGGTTCTTCTGTAGAAATCTTTCGCTGACTAACACATCCGCATCAATATATTTGGAAGCTATCTTTCTTTCTCTTTCCCATCTTTCATAGCTGCATTGGTATGTATGCCATAAGCTACATCTGCAGCTTGCGCGCGCGGTTTTCTGCCAGACCTTTGAAACTTATACAGCTGTGTTTGAACGTATGCTATAAGTACATCTGCAGCTTGCGCGCGTGGTCTTCCAGACCTGCTGCTACGGAGGTGGCAATACATTTGCAACCTATACAGCTGCAGTTGTGTAGAGCTGCTGCTACGCTAGCATTGCTTGGCGCTGGCGCTGGGATCTTGCCTTGGTGAGTTGCTTTGGCACTCGGATCTTGCTTGGGCGGGCGCTGGAATCTTGCCTGGCTAACTTTCGCTGGGATCTTGCTTAAGTAAAGTCATACGCAATGTCAATTATAACTTTCGCCGGGGTCTTGCTTAAGCAAAATGATCAAAGGAAGTTTAGTGTGCAAAACTTCCGTGTTACGGACATTCAACAGCTGTTCAACCACCACTCATCATACACCACTCATCATACACCACTCATCAAACACCACTCATCATACACCACTCATCATACACCACTCATCATACACC